GCCACCACAACACACACCATACCACATCACACCGCGCTACACTTGACGGTGGTCAAGGGGGTGGAAACGTGGCTCGGCCGTATTGCGCAGAACGTCGGCGCCTTGGCGTCGCGACGACCCTCGCGTTGGGGTGAGTCAGGCCGGTCGTTGCTTGGTGCCCGTGTCTTTCCGGTTCCCGCTACGGTACGCTACGGCACAAGTATACGTACACAGTATACGTACACGACGACACGACGCGACGCGACGCGACGGCGCGAGCGCACGATCGTCGGTCCCACCATCTCGCTTTCGTCCGGACTGCGCCTCCGTCGTTCGATTTGGAATCGCACGCGCCAATCATTCGCGATCAAGCGAGAGAGTCTGGATGCGCCACTCGCCAGACGCGGCGGCGTGACGCTTTGAACGACGACGACGAGGACCGCTAGATCGCTAAGGGCGCGGGGGGGATCCACGCGGACGGAAGGAAGAGAGAGATAGAGACATAAGAGGAAGGAAGCTACGGCGTCGAGTTCCGCGGTGGCGACTATGCGCGTCATCGATCGCGCGCACCTCCGCGATCGGCCGGAGATGTGATACCGGAAGTAGGCCAGGCAGGGTTGACCTGCGTGGGCGTGCAGGTATCGCGACGTACGGGTGCGTGCGTGCGTGCCGTGCATAGGCCGCAGGTGTGCCGCGTGGACCCGCGGGGGGGCCAGCAGTCGTAGAGATGAGCGTCGCCGCGATAACCTGCCCGTCACCGACGTACCCGACGTCGGGGACCAACCCCTGGTGCAGTACCACCGCTGTGCGGCTGCTCTGCGTCGTCTTGGTCTTCTCTTGGATTATCCTCGATCAGCCGGCCCTGGGTCTACCGAATCCCTCGGAGCTCACGACCGTAGAAGGTAAGACCTTTAAATACTTTCACCCGCGCTCATACGCGAGGCGCGTATGACTTTCTCTCTCTCTCTCTCTCTCTCTCTCTCTCTCTCTCTGCGCGCCACGAGTAAAAAATGACATTTCTCTCCAAAGAGAAATAACATGCATAAACGAAAAATGATTGAAATTTAATTGGAAGAAACTAGTCTGGAGTTATTTACTTTGTACTAATGATTTTCATTCGCTAGTTTTGCACGCGCGATTGTTTTATAATATATTTGAAAGATGATTAATTACATAATTTATTATATGCATATATACACTGTTAATAATAATAGTATATAAAATATTTAAAGTAAAAATTTGTAAAATATTGTATATAGAAGTTTTATAATTTCTTCTGTAGTTAAAACCCAATACGGCGGCAAGTAAGGATACTTTACCCGTAGATACTTCAATCCATGTTATAAAAAACACTATATTTCTTTAATTTTTTTTTTAAATTTAAATATTTATCTTATTTAGAAATCAATTCCATTTTATATTTAATATCTTCAATACAGTTAGTTTCACACTTAATATCTCCAATACGATTTTTAATCTATAACAATATCAAACAAATCTTTATGATGAAGAAAAATCAAGATCAAATGTCACAAGATTCCAAGATAACCAATGTAAAAAATATCCGAAAGATATTTAAAAAGTCGTTTAAAAGGTCACAAAGTATTTTAAATAATATTTTAAACCTTTCTATTATTTTAAATAAAATTATAAGTAAGATTTTATCACAAGGTCATAGTGATGATAATATTGTATGTATAAGATACGGGATGCAAACTATCATAAATAGTTACGTATATCAAACAAACATACAGTATTATTATCTACATAACATGCAATAAGTAAACTTCCAAGATTTTACTCGGTTGAAATTTTGAAATAATGGATGCACTTATTCTGTAATTTTGTAATTCGCATTAAAATGATCATACTATATAATATAAATTACTATATTAAATGAATTAATCATAATAAGTTATCGTACTATACAACGTGTAATAAGATAAAGAAATTTCCAAGATTTTCCAGAATTTAATAAATAATATGTAAATTCACACCGAATTATTTAAGTACTAAAAATTCAGCTTGATCAGGAGCTTTGTAAGGCCTTTATTTCTTATTTGTTATGTCTTCATCTTAAACGATACTTCGTCCAAGGTTTTTGTTTGTGATTATTTCTTTCCATTAAAAATTCGACAAATCGATATAATTTAATTCTATAATGCACATATTAAAATTAAAATAGAAAGCTTTTTGAAAACATTTACTTCATTTCATAAATGGAGTTATTTTTGGTGATATACATTTGTTTAGATATATCTGATTTCCTTAATTTCTTTTGTGTGCAATCACATAAAACGCGCATGTCGTGCGAAGGACATCGTGGAGTGTCTGATTAAAAGGCGAGTAAATTCCCCTAATGAAATCACCAAGTGATGCGGTGTTAATACAGTAAAGCTTGCGTCAAACTGCGCGATTCATGATAACACAATGGTTTTTTAATTTTGCCAAAATAAGTCACGTCGCTACCGAATTGGCATGAATGGTAAACGACAATTGCGAATTCGATGAATATGTCTATTCACACTATTTGCAAATCTCATACGAATACCAAATTTTGAATTGTCCCAAATGGCGCATTGCTGACGTAAGTTTAAGGTCGTTTTGGCTGTTTTTAGCAAAAAAACATCTTTGCAAGTATTGTAAAATTTTTTGATACATATAATTGGTCTTGGTTCCTCATAGGATCTAAATGTATGAACTAATTATACATTTAAAAAATTCTTACAAAACTGCTTTTTCTGTTGAAAGTAGTCAAAATCAACCAAAATAAGTTAATATCAACTAATATTATTCAAAAATTTTTGATGATATTAGTTCGCAAATATATTCTGAAATCAATTATAAAAAACAAAACAGCAAATAATTTAACTCATAATGGTTTTATGCAGCATAATTTTTTTGCAGTTTTAGGTCAATAACTTTTAAAAGAATAAATGAATCCAAACAAACTTTTGCATAAATATTTATTATTGTGGATCAGTAAGTTTAATTTTTTTACTTCTTTATTAAATTTATAAAGTATATTATTAGTATTTATTATATTACTTATTATATTATTAAATTTATAAAGTATATAAGTAATTTATAAGTATTATGAAACACGATTTTATATAATAAGAACCAAGATTAATAAAAAAAAAATAAAATAAAAATAAGATTAACAAAAAAAAAATAAAAACTTTTTAATTTTTAAATAAGGGAATAAGGGAAGTGTTCAAATTTTATACAGATATTTAGACGTAATAATGAAACAATCTAAAAAAATTTTATATTTTTGATAATATTTTAAGATGTAATCTACAACCTTAAAATCTCGCGTGAATAGTTCGTCGTTAATAGTAAATCCTGTGTTTATTGTCGTGTGACACTGAAATATCGCGACAAATATTGCAAATCAAACAGCATATGTCTATGATAGCGGGAGAGAGGTTTGGTATCGATAGAGAAGAAATAAGGAGATTTATCTGTTTAAATTTTTAAAAGTTACAATCACATTTGTTAACTTTATTAATTTTAAAATAAAATAATATCAATTGTAACCTGTAAATATATTTGTCCCTCGATCTATTCAATACTTTTTTGCTCTTCACATTTACGGTCCTTGGAAACCCTATCGAATAAGAATTGCTTCATTATTTTGGAATGCATTCTTCTGTAATTCTATGCTATGGAATAAAAGATTTGTGCCTGAATAGATCAAATAAATAAATAATATTTACGTAAATAGATAGTGAATTATAAAACGATCTTTTTCTTATGATTATTTTTTTCACATTAATATATTACAATAATATTAATGTACATATTTGATATATTAACAAACATGTTTAGCGGATCTTATTTTTCGTAATCCGCTAATAATTACTTGAGAGTATTAAATAACAAATATTTTTTCTGAAAAATTTGAAATTCTAATCTATTCTCACATGTAATAAAAAGCTGTTGTTTTATCAGTTCTTCTGTAATCTTTCTGTCTTGTTTCACTGTTTTAAAAATTTATACGGATTAGTCATCGTAAAAGATAATGACTTATAGATAGCTAAAATGTTTTCCTTGAAATAGTTTTTCATATTTTTTTAGAAGGAATTTTTTTTTAGTTTTCTGATAGCTTTCATCTTTTATTCATCTTAATCCGCGTTACCGTAGACTAACACAATTTCGAAAAGAATACGAAGTTGTGCTTTTTCGTGCTGAAAATTTGTTGGTTCAGGAATCTACTAACGATTCGCATTCATAGCTTATTCAAGTTATTTCGATTTGTACCAGGTATATTTTTCAATTCAATGCATGTATTCTTCAACAATGATTACTACAGAATATTGAAAAATCCTTTTCGTTTAGTTTGAAAAATATATGTAAATTAACTTTGTAATATTGAAAAGTAATATAATATTAGTCCTTTATGATTGAATTTTAAGCCGCAAGTCGATATTCAATTTTGTAAATCTAATCAACTTTTGCATTTTGTAGTTTTTTATAAAAATTTAAAAGCGTATCAATTATAAATTATAATTATATATATTCATCGTTTTCCGATTGTTGTGTAAAAAAAGTAAAATACCATTGATTTTTAAATTGCGAAAAAGTAACTTAAATCTTAAAGTTTATTTTAAAATCTTGTACGCAAGATGACAATTATAATTGTGATTATAAAAAGGACAGTGCAACAAGTAAAAATATTTGCGATATTATGGACCTGTTGCAGAGTGAAAACAAATTTCTTGAAATCAATCATGATAACTGAAATACTTGCGTCATTCGAGATTTCAGTATGCTTTGTCTATGTCGATTTATACGCGTCAATTAAAATAATTCTAATATTTATTTTATTTTGATAATTATCTTGATTACTCTTCATTTTATTTAGAAAACACACTTCTAAATAAAATTTACTTGCTTTGATTCTGTTAACGACATATCTTATTTAAGTGTCAAATCAATCGACATAAAAACATCATATCGATTTACATAAGATGTTTATTGGTCCAGTGGCCTTATCCTATGATTGCCCAGCTTTATTTTATGTATGGTGACCCTTAATGAAACGTTATGCTTTTGTTTTAATAAAATGTTATTTGTTTTATTAATGCTATTATAAAATTAACAAGATTATTTTTAATTAAAAATAATGCTAACAATACAATATCATTTCTGAGATGGTTGCTTTTGCCTACAAATTGATTGCCTACAGTATCGTTTGTCTACATGCACTTTTGCGCACAAATAAAAATTTTAGAAACGGAGTTACTTTTGCCTACATGTATTAATGCCTACAGCTCTATTGTCTACATGCATTTTTGCTCACAAATAAAAATTATTGCCTACAAGTATGTAGACAATCGAACTGTAGGCAATAATTTTTGTGTACAAACGAACTGTCGGCAAAAGTGATGTAAGCAAATAATATTGTAGGCAATCGGTTTATAGGCAAACGAGATCTCCCCATCATTTCTTCCCGTGTACTCTCTTTTTCTGTTTGTTTATTCCTCACTTTCTTCGTTCTGCTTTATTTATCAGATTAACGTTAATTTATAGATAAACTTTCTGTGTTTATTACGTGCTGTGAAAACATTATTGAATTATCCTTAATGGAATTAAGCCTAACAATTTGTTTCTCTTAGCTTAATTTGCATTCTAGTAATTTTGATTCAGTAAAATTGACATTATCTTATCTGCTAATTTAGAAATATACTTTAAAAGTAACAGAAAAAGAGTGAGAAAGAAAATATGAAAATATGTATAAAATTTTATTTCTCTCTCTCTCTCTCTCTCTCTCTCTCTCTCTC